CATCGTTCACCCCCTACTTTTCAATGGAGTTTCATATCTCAGAAACTACTCGATCAATATCAATAAACTTTTCATTCCGTTCTTATTTACGTTGCGATAATGAGCGGAATTGGCCTAAAAGGATATCTACTTCCCTCACATCGTACTTTYAAATTTCATATGTCTTTACAGTATATATACAGACATCGAAATAAAACTTCACGTTCATGATATGCCATTCTCAACTAAACAGAGTCTATAACGGCCCATAAACTTTCCAGCCCGCTATACCGAGTATGCGGTCCTTAGTGCCTATATCAAACTTTGTATTTTTACGGCATCAAATCAATACGCTGTTTGTTCATTCTACTAAATATTTTTATTACTTCTTCTGCTCCCACACGTCTTAATTTATGTTGAGGAGTGCTAAGCCCTTCAATCTGTTTTCGAGTGTCGTGCTCTGTCCAAGTCTTGATTCGACGCAAAGAAGATAAGGATCGGTTAGCGTTAGCATTTGATGCTAGCAAAGTTCCAAATATGCGAAGAACAGTATGAATCGTCGGATATATGAACATACATATATCCCCACCTCAAGTGCTCAGGGTTTCTAAGGCAGAAAGTACTTGCGTTCTCGTAGTAATTYGCATCTTCCATTGTTGCTGCTAAAGCACTACTACTGCCTTGAGCATCGATTTTTGCAGTTCTTTGTTTCCTGGCAAGATTATCCCAAGAAACGACTCACTAGGCATTCAATGAGTAAAGTTATATTTTTTTATTCTAAGATAAGGTTAAATTTTGGAATGAATGAATTTCGTTCCATGAGCGACCTTAATCCACGTCTTGCTATTTAGGTCCAAGTTTCAAACAAATCGGTTAAAATTTTACAGTTGTCAGAAAATGTTTAAATGATTTTTCGTAATGGAAGTAATTATTGAGAGTAATCTAAGTTAGTTATGTTTGAAGTTGTGGCATGCGACATGTTATACCGTTGATAACTAAACACTATATTCCATTGGATAGTGCCCTTATTTTCAATAACTGGTTTTGGAACCAGTGAGGGCAAGGTTTGACCACAAGTAATGCATTGTTTGAAAATMTCTTTTAATTTGTTTGATTCGCTACTCTCCAATGTTTGGCGCGTCGAAGACAGCAATTACTTTATATTATATAAGTGACATTATAGCTTACAACTACTATATGTTGAATAATAAATTAAAAWTTTTCCAAGAAAAAATAATAATTTTTACTTAAAATGACACAGATCCTGTGGTAATTAAGACTCTGAAACTGGAGCAGTTAAGAACTAAGTAACAATAAATATGGAGTGTAGAGCTGGAGATATCAGAATATTGAGAGTGAAAGTGATTTTCGTTGTCAGTATGTTTACTTGCGTCCATGTACTACTTTTCTGCATAAAATATATTGTATAATRCATAGATATCTACTCTTCCGAATAAATAAAATAAATGGCATATACGGTAGTGTCTGTGAAATATGCTAGTAGTGAATGATTAGTCTTGGCAGAATCTATAAACTATAAACTGAAATCGAACTAGATAAAAAAAACAACAAAGACAAATGCTTTCTAACGAGAAAGAGCACGTACAAACTACCGCTTGCTGCTATATAAAATTCTATGTAAAATAAAAAAATTCTATGTAAAAAAATCTAGTCAAATGGATAGTTTGGTGATCCATACTAGTTGCGAAGTAGTTGATAACTAGTCGTTTTGAATATTAATAACATTATTAGATAATGTAAAATTATTTTGTGTTTGTTGTTGTTGAAATCGACTTCACTACAACGATTATTGAATTTAAAAAATTCGCCCTGCTTTTTCAAATCTATCTGGTCCATATTTACATAAAAAGTTAAATTAAAAGCATTCTATGCCTATCTTAAGATGATAAATTTTGCAAATATTCATACATAAGTATATTATGGTATATAAAGTCTATATGGAAGCCATGGACCTGCATACCACCACTCAGTCGAAAAAAAATTAAAATATTCCAAATAAAAAAACAAAAAAAAAATTGTGTTTTTTTAACGAAATTAAGTATTTTAAATTTAACTTAGCGAAAACGAAACAAAATCTCGGTTTTTTTATCATGACAACCAATTTCCWTCTGTAAATAAAGAGCGCCACCTAAAATCTGTTGACATGTCTGCATCTGTGGCTTTGTGTGTGTGTGTGTTTCCACACGTACATGTGTTAATTTGTTTACTCACAAGTGAAGTTACCGCAAGTACAAAAATAAACAAGAGATAATATGAAATTAAACAGGCAGTACCACAGATGCTCTCATTAACATACGAAATGGGCGTAAAAAATGCATGCCTGAGTTAACCCAGTAGGCAGAAGCGGAGGTTGATGTTGTTGAAAAAAATGAGAGTTTTCCAATGATTTATTAGAAGGTTTTTATCATTACTTAAGTTTAAAAACTAAAAAAATTTTTATCTAAGATTATATTTATCAAGAACTATTAATAAAAATACATGAAAGATGGAATTAAAAATTTAAATAAACAATTATTTCGAAGTGTAGGGGATTGCAAAAGCAAGAGTATACCTGTAGGCAAAGAATTTTTGATTTTTAAAAATCCTATAAGAATCTGTACCGACAGTGTGAAAATAATTGAAATCGAAATATAATACTGCTCAATCCCCATATAACGATACCGTTAAAAGCTGCTAAGGCACATATAAAAAATCGTAAAATGATTACGACCGATATAGTGTTAAACAGCTTCATAAAGGTCGGGCTCMAAATTGTTCAATGGGCGCCCTCTTTGAGGTGAAATCCCATATCTCGGAATCTGCCCGACCGAAATCAACCAAATTCGCTACATGATATTCTACTGAGATTCTTATGTCACARTGTAAGACTGGACAAAATCGGACCACAACTACGCCTACTTCTCTGAAGACACAATTTTAAAGTACCTTTCGATTCTTTCAGTTTCTTGTACACGAATCAAGAAGTAATTAATATAACAAGATACAACTTTGAACGCATAGTGTTTTTGGAGTATAGCAAAAATTGTCCAAATCGWATCACAACTGTTCAAGTGACCAGGTCTGAATATGCGGAACTATAGTTGACTTTTGACAGAAAATATTGGTCATTGTGTTACGTAATTGAAATGCAGATAAAATGGGTTGGATCAGATCAATACTTCCTTTCACCTGAATCGACTGTGAGTTTCTTGTGCATACGCGTATATYATCCAACATGTGAGTTATCTCATTCAAAATGAGAGAACGTATTTTATTTATCGATTACGAACCCAAGGCAGATATTCGTGTCAAAATCCTAACACGCCTGATTACCCTTTTCGCACAGCCAAATTAATTTAGTACACTAAGATTARTACATTAAGAAACCAGTTTTTACCTCTCGCACAGCCGACTAACGATGGGCTCTATTAACGATCAGCTATTATACTGGCCTGTGTTCTTCATTTAGTATTTTTTCGAATGATTAAAATTCATCAACTGATTGCAAACACCGAATTTACAGCCTGGACAACAACCCACAGAGTTGCATTCCAGTTTCAACTCCACTTCAGTTCGATTAAGAATTAATGTAGCAAAAAAAAAAATTTTATTTTGTCTCGTTAATCGATCTAAATTAGAGCTTTAATTGAGCAAAGGCTGGTTTATTGATCATTTAGCTTCTAAGCGAAACGATTAATTTACTTTACTAATCAAGAACTTCAACTAGAAAAAAAAAACGGAGTAGATTTAAACCCATTGGAAWAAGAAGATAAAATAACATTAATTAAATAGAAAGTAATTAAAGAATAAACTGTGGTCGGGAAGAGAAAAATGGGTTCGCTGGGTTATACTGTTAATGGCTATAATTGGTTAAGGGGTTAGGTGGGTTTGAAAATTTCCAAAAATCGATTAACTTTTTTTTTTTGCTTTATTAAATTCTACAATACCTCTAGAATATAGTCCTGAAGTTAAAGTTGAGTTGATCTGAGTAATAATTTCGGAGATACAGTGTTGAGAACTTGTGCACTCAAGTCTAACTGCGCTAAGTGCTCTGTCTTAAAACGCGTTTTTCTCGAAACTGTGTTTTTGAAGTCGGTGTACACGATTTCTCGAAAAGTTATCGACCAATTTAGTTCGTATTGTGTACACGTTTTTGAAATAATATTACGTAGTTATTAAACGAAGGATTTTTCCTTATTTCATTACAACTTATTTTTCTGACCAAAAAATACCGAAAATTTTACCAAAAATGAGATCTTTTGTTCAAAGTCCGAGAAAAGAAGGRCAATTTTAATATTTTTAATTTCCTACGTTTAAAAACGAGATTTATATATGTACTAACAGAATATGCTTCGTTTTTTAATTTTGTATGAACCAAAAATACGTTATGCTGTCCATGGCGAGAGCACTTTTCCGAGAGACGCCCAGGGAAATGCGGTTTCMACGGCGGAATTTTCAACATTTCTGTTTCGAAATTTCAGGAGATATTGTTCGTATATATACCGTTGATGCTACATATTAAATTTTTCAAATATATGATTGCTTGTATTATAAAAAAAATCAAAAAATCGTAAAAATACCTTTTTTTGTAGCTCTGAAACCCACCTAACCCCTTAACCTTGTTTTCCGGCAAAGTGCGTGACCAATAGAAAACAGTATAGTGTTAAAGATTGAAAGGATCTACAACTTTTCTGCAAACACTGCTTTCACATAACCTTAAAATATATGTCAAAAATTCAAATAAACAAATTTTCGCCTCTTTTAATTATATTTTCTTTCATTTTTGTTATATTACGTTTCCTTTCCAGGGGATTTCATACCACGTTTTTCTTATTTTTTTTTTTGTTTTTTTTGGGTTTTTGTTTTAAACATTTTTCTACTTGGCCGACAAGTATTCGCTACACATATGAATACTACCCATATAGTATCCGCTATATGCTATTTAAACACACTAGTCAACAGCTTATTATTCGCTATCTTAATATGCATTACAATAGGGATTTAGATATTTTATTGCTCACCCATAAATCTGATGCGAAATTCATCATAGCCAAGCAGTTGAACGGGCTGCTCGTCATATGCCGGTTCACAAATGATTTCGTAGTCGTATGGGTCATGCCGATCCATTTTTATTATGTTGTTGCGTTCTCTAAAGCACTTTTTTTATTTATTTTTTTTTATTTATTTTCATCAATTTTAGTTAACAAACTATATTTTTCCGTTTTTATTTCTGCTCCTTTTTAAAATATTTCCAAGTAATAATAAACTTTTTAATAACACATTCTTAGGTAAAAAATGCCTGCACCGCCTAAAAGTAGGCAATATATTTCTTTTTGTACTTCTTTATCTTAGTGCACATATAACGCTTTYGAGCTTTCAGGTTAATAATTTAATCGCTGATAATCCTACACGAATTCAACATGAATAAAAATATTTACCACACCCTACTTGAATTAAACGTAAGTGCACTACAACAGTTTTAAATTMATTACCAAGGTAACGGTAAAGTATTAATACGGTAAATAAGTAACTATTGTCAGATGTTGAGTTTTACATTTTTTATTTCTATTTAAGTTATTCTGCATTATTCACACTTTACAATTAATTTTTCCGTGTTTTCATATGTTATATTTTTCTAATTTATACCGTTAACAGTGCATTAAATAAAGCATACCATTAGGATTCAATGTATTTGCCTTCTAAGTCATACATATATTCGTATTGCTTTGGAATTTGTAAATTATAAGAATTTAAACCAAATGTTATTAGATTTCATTTTTTTTCAGGAACGGCATATGCATGCAGTTAATGAAACTATTTCAAAGCCAATATGGTCTCGAATCGAACTMTCGAATATCACCCTATGGATTTTTCAAAATGGGTTTGGATAAACTGCCCATTTTTCTAGCTAAGTTGAGCTGTCTTTACTTTCGGTCAAAGACCAATGGAGTACATCGAGCCTTAAAAAAGAGAATTGGGAGGAAGGAAAATGAAATTTAGTGAGCATACCACATAGAATATGCGTGTGAATTTGGCCTCAGAAATGCCGAACCAGATTATCAAAATAACTCGTTTTCGATGTTAAAGTCGACATAATCGACAGCTTAGTTCGGATTTCGTTAGACCAATGCGAGCTTATATATGTAGCTTAACAGAGCAATACTATGGGGCTAATACTTTTAGCTAATTAGTGAATCTATTTGCTTTATGAACGTCGAGTGTGCCGTGCCACCAGTGTTATGCTAGCTTAAGACGGATAACTGGAGAAATAAGTCCAACTTGAGTTCTTAAGTTTTTTAAAAGAGAAATTCCTGTTTCTGAAGCACGAGATGTAGCCCATATGTATCTTATCGAAATTTTTGCAATAAATTTGATTACATTTTGAACTTCTTACTTCAAAAATTTTATAATTTCTTCAATACTTTGTAAATAAATAAATATATTTCACACCTTTGAATTTCGTATTATGTAAAATAAC